ATAAGATTATGCCGAAAATGTAGGGTCCTATAGGGAATATGCATTAAAAACTCAATATCTCGCCAGGAGCAAGCCATGGGCACGAACTCTTTTTACGTTAAACATAAGTCACCGAGCTCTAGAAGTTGCACTAAGTCCCGACTCAAAATCGTTCTGACAGTTGGATAGGTTCTCTCGTGAGATGTCAATGAGTAGTGATACCTCCGTCATTTTCGACAGTAATCATGGCGAAAGTAGCGCTCTCTATCGACGTTTTGACGGTACGTTATAACACTTGATAATACATACACCACTAGATAGAAGAAGTCTTTCTCTACTAGCTTATATATATTCCTTTTGTGAATCAGAGCTTTATAATCGCCTTCGGCGTACAGTATACGTATAGAGAAGATCTATTTCAATTCATTGTATTTGTTTTTTTATGGATTAAATTGATATCAAATATCAGCTTTTGTTCATTCTTAGTAAATCATTACAATTTCTTATAGTAAAACTTATGATAGATATAATCGATTTTTTTTATTCTTGATCTTTTCGAATATATATGAATTTTGATTTGATTAATAGAACTATATCGATTGATTAGTACTATAAGAAAAATATACACTTGGAAAAAGTAATTCACAAATTATTTATATTTTAGAAATTAACAGATAAAAATCGTCTCAAATTGGTAACTACTTATCCTATTTCTTTCTTCCAATATCTAATATAATTAATATTCAAATGAACCATCTCCACCTCTATCCAATTGATTATCTCTTCTATTTAAAAAATAATTATTCTAGACTAGTATTATTTGCTTGTTTTTGTTTTTTTTTGAGCAGCATTTATTTTTTATAATATGTATTTAAAAACAAAACAAAAAACAAAATTCTATATTTTCATATTATAGTCTCCAAAAAGATCTCCAGCTCCATCTCAAGCTCCATCAGCTGTTGGTAAACGTGGAACAGTTAGTGGTAGTATTTCTCAAATGAGTAAACGACCATCATTTATAAGTCCAGCTAAACCTGATAAAGAACGTTTTCAATTAACACCACAACAATTAGATGAACGTTTTAAATTAACTCAACAAGCATATTTACCAATATATTCATTATTATGTCATACATTTGATCGTTTAGAACAAGCATTAGATGATTTATCAGAAAAGTCTCCATCAAATAATGAAAATACTCTTTATACACAATTAGCAACAACAATACAAAATCAATCATTGAATGTACTTGATATACTTAAAGATGAATTAACACGTAATGTAACATCAATAGATGTGAACAGTTTTTTTTAAATAAATAAATAGAAAAGATGATGCTCAGAATTTCCAAATTTTCGTTGATACTGAGGTGAATCAATAGTAAACTATTGTTATGAACCTCACATGATGATTTGAAATCTGGTTTTTTTCTCTGGATCAAAGAAAATAGGAACAATCCATTTCATCCATTCAAGGAATGAACATTTTTCTAAGCTCTAGTTACCTTGACTTTCAAAGGAAAACTAATAAATCAGCAGAGAAGAACTCAATAGTGTATTGGCTTGGATGTACATATATTGTTCCATTGACGAAAAAAAACAAACATCATAACATTTTAATTTAATTACAAGAATATCAATCATTACTATGGATATCATATATGATGAATTTGTAACTTGGTTATATGCTATTCGACTCGTTACAAAATTTATTTTAAATGTACGTGCAAAACAAATTTAAAGAACTATGTCTATAAATATTCTATTGATCTTATTATTTATTTTTGGGTTATTATGCTGTATTTGACATAGAAAAATTTAAAGATTTAGGAAAATAATATGAACGACCGACAAAAGTGAGAACAGTTTTATCTCAATGATTTCATTTCTTTTGTATAAAGAATGGCCCAGAAGTCCTGACTCGATTTGTATAATAAATTTTTGTTTTATATTAAAACACACACAGTGGCTACCAAAATTATCCGACAAGATGTAATTTGGATTTTATTTCGTAATCGAAAGTGCTAGAAGAAATCCAAATAGTGATTTGAAGAGAGAAATTTGTTTTTCATAAGAATATGATAAAATGATCATTATCGATAAATTCTCAAAAACAGAACATCCAAAATTTTAGTTTTTCAGTACCTTGAAGTCGTGAAAAAGGCGGCGTTTTGTTTTTCTAGATCGATAGAACAGCCAATTCTCTACAAAATGAGATGTCTCCGAGCTTTCTACGACCTTCCTATCACAAGCTATAAGCATCACAAAAACCCAAACAAAGCAGTTTTTTCGTAGTTTTCTGATAAATTTCACATTTTTTGGATTTTTGTGATAGGAAGGTCGTAGAAAGTTCGGAGACATCTCATTTTGTAGAGAATCGACTGTTCTATCGATCTAGAAAAACAAAACGACGTTTTTTTCACGACTTCAAGGTATTGAAAAACCAAAATTTTGGATGTTCTGTTTTTGGAAATTTATCGATGATGATCACTTTATCATATTCTTATGAAAAACAAATTTCTCTATTCAAATCACTATTTGGATTTCTTCTGTCGAAAACTAGGTTGTCGATTTTTGACATATTCTTGAAAGCTGGTTCTCCCAACATACCATATTTTCTCAGAACAATTTTCTATAGAGTACATTTGAAAGTACCAAATTCACTTGTGCTACGCTTTTTTATCGAAATAATAGAAAAGGAAAAGTTCAAGTTGCCAAATTTAGAAAGCTTGTATTTTTTGTGTCTTTCATATAATATGCTTACTTGTCTCGATTGAAGCTTTGAAATTAAAGTCTATGTATGATTTTGTAGAGAATTTCACAGCGCTTCTATTAAGAAGAGAATTTGGTCTAGGCAATCTAAAGAACAGAAATTACGGTGAAAATATTAAGCTCGAGTTCATGGTTAATTTTTATTTTTTGTGATGCATATTTCTAAGCTTATAACTTTCTTACTATATGAATTAGAAAGAATCAATCATAGACTATTTTATAGGGACAACTTTTTAAGTATGTATTTTAATATAAAAAAATTTATTATACAAATCGAGTCAGGACTTCTGGACCACATGGCTAGTTGAAAATACAACAGAAAGAAATTTACCAATAAAGAATGAATAGTCAAAACAAAAAATATAGTTTGAGAGTTTTCTTAGCCAGTGAAAAGCAGAAATCATCCTCATATTATTTCATAATATATAAGGATGACAAAAAATATATATATCAGTGAATAATGATAAGAATTTTTTGAAATAATTATTCATAAAGATCAAAAGTCTTAGTTGAAAATATAAAAGACAGAATATCTGAAGAAAAACAGAAGAGGTGGCAACCCTGGTCCGCAATGTGTTTAGGATCGTCATGGTCATAGGACTAAGATATGCATACATACAACATGATGAACCATATTTCTGCAGATTTCTATATCATTTTCGTAATGACTATGTCAATAGGAAATCATCTCTAATGTAAATATTCTTAGTAATTAATTATTATTGTTTTGTAATTGTAAAACATGTCCTATGGCTTTTTGAAACCTTTCAATGTAGAATTTTATTTATTTATAATTAATAAATCTACAGGATGATACATAAGTCATCGGGCAGTCTTTTATTTCGGATAATTTTTGATAGGAACAAGATATGGATCGCCAGTTTTCACCATTTGAAAGAGCGATTTTCGGACTATCGATCTATATAATATTTACTAAGACGAGAGATGCTTTTTAATTTTCTGTATATTTTCATAAATTCTCGCAATAATTTGAGACGAGATTATTGCGGAAATTTATGAAAATATTCAAAAAATCGAAAAGCATCTCTCATCTGTTCCTATCAAAAGTTATCCGAAATGAAAGACTGTCCGATGATTTATAGATCATCCTGTATAATCTAAATCAACATCTGCTAAGTATAACGGTAAATGTGTGTGATTTATTTCAATGTTTCTTCATTCTTAGTATTTTGTTTTTCTTATTCTTTCTATCACTATAAATTGTCACACTTTAATCACAATATCGGTTAGGTGAAAAATAAAACTAGGCGTAGACAAACGAATTTATAAACCATTAATATTGCTTCATAACATTCTTTTCGCGTGTCTACTGTCTTTTTTTTTTCCTTCGCATATATGTGAAACGAGAGGAGAGAGAGCGAACAGTAATAATAATAATAATAACAACAAGTTCAACAATAATAATGTGTTTTTTTTCCTCTGTTATGAAAAAGCAAAAACGAAAAAGCAAAATATATGTGTGAAAATAAATCGTTTCACGAACACCCACTAAGTCATCAAATTATATTGAAAATAACAAAACTGACGTCATAGACAACAAATATTATTCATTGTTGTTCATCATAATGATCATGAACACAGCACACACACACACACACGCATCATATCTAATTGATTTCTTTTTTTTATACAAGTGTTAATAAAATAATCGTTAACATACTTATACTATCCCCCAATCATCTTGAATAACAAAACATGATCATAGAAATTTATTTTTTTGTTTTTTGAAAGATTAAATCTAAAGATTTAGCTGCTTAGAAAACTTCAATTGATTGATAAACATTTGTTCATAATAACAATAGTCTTAGATCAATTCAATTGTTGTTATTAAACTTCATCGCAATTTGTTTCTAAGATAGATCAATTAAATTTTTCAATCTCAAGATCAATGAATATAAAATAGTAAAAGTCGAGTGTATTGACTAGCCTATCATCTCTCATTGATTCATTTTACAATTACTGAACGAATAGCTTTTTTTTTTGTTTGATTTTATTTCAATACAAATGTCATGATTTCCGAAAGTCATTTTTAAAATTTATTCATAACGGTAAACGGATGTCTATGCGGAATGTTTGATTGCAACAAATGAAGTGTTATTAGTACAATAAAAAATAGCATTTTATTTTATTTTATTATTTTTTTTTTTTTTCTTTTACATACACGACGACACACACACACACAAAAGACAGAAGAAAACAAAAAAAAAAAAAAAAAATGAACGAATGAATTATTTCGATATTTTATTGAAAAAAATTCTTCGTATATTATCCAATGTTGTTGGTAGATAACATTGTGGACAAACTTTTTTTTCTTTGAAATATTTTATCCAACATTCTTCACAATTAATATGCCAACAATTAATTGAAACACATGGTTTAATACATGATTCCTACTAAATGATTTATTATTTAAAATTATTATAAAATTAGTTTTTTTTTGTGTTAGTTAAAAAAAGAAAATTTTACTCACCATACAAACAACACATTTTGGTGGATCAAGTTCAGATTTTGTATATAATATATCTGTTTGTGTTGATGGAGAATATTGTTGATCACTGTTAAATGATTCTTGACAACTAAGACTAGTTGTTGTTCCACTTGTACTTTTTTCTTCTCGTTCAATTTCATCATCATCATCAATATCAACAACATTAACATCGGGATCTTCAGATGATAATAAACGATGATTAGCTATTGCATTTACAGCTGCTAATTGTTCTCTCTTAATTAAAAAAAAAGAAATTTGAATTTGAATTTTATTTTATTAAATATTATTTTTCTATACTTTTCTTGAACATTGTTGAACATGAGTAAAAAAATATTCATCATCAGAATTAATTCGAATTGATTGATAACATATTGGACAATTTCGTGTATCATTACGAATTGATCGACGATGATGTAATTGTAATCTAGCTATAAAAGTAAAGTTTTTTTTTTTTGAGAAATATAGAATTATAAAATAAATTACCATTTAAACGTTGTTGTCGACTTGTTCGTACTCGTAAAAAAGTCTAAAAATATTTATATTTTCGATAGAATTCATCTCCAATCTTCTTTCTATCTACATACTTCATATCGTGTTTTAAATGTTTGATCAATATTATTATTATTATTATCTTGAAAAATCTAAACAAAAAAAAAATTATCAATTATTTTAAACCAAAAAAACAAAGTTATTTTTACTTTATTTTCACGTTTAGTTTTATATTGTTGTCGACGTTTAATACTATCAAGTTCATGTTGAACATGTGTAATTAAATCTTGTCCATTTAATGATATTTGACAAATAGGACATTGTGGATTTTGTAAATCAATTGTAGATGATCGACAACGATTGTCTTTACAAAAAAAAAATAAAAAACAAAGTCAGGTATTTAATTAAAACAAGCTGTTCATTCTTTATATAAAAAAGAAGAGTTTAATGATTTTATTACTTCTGGATAACTATCATACATCACCATATGTCTAAATAGCCTAACATCAAAATTTGATTGTACAGCTGAAATATATGTTGTATCAACAAGAATTTTGTTGTATATGCCCCAAGTGACTGATTATACATACTTGATTTTTTTTAAGAGTAAGAAAGAGAAAATCACCGTCTGTGCACAAATGAAAAAATATTCTTATTAAATATCGATTTATCAATCAATCTCTTTTTTGATCTTATTTATGACTGAAATATAATAGCAAATTATAGATGACTTTTTATAATTCTCTCTCTCTCTGTCTGTGTTGAGAAAATATTTTTTTTTTAGTTATATATATTTTTCACAAGATATTGTGAGAAAGAAAAATTAATTTCTCATAAGCAAAATAAATTAATTAAGAAGAAAAAAAAATTTTAAATATTCACTAAATGTGAGATTTTCAACTAGGTTGGTTTGTTTTTTTTTGATCAATCGGTAAAAATTTAAGTGTTTGTATATATATATGCAATTCATTTTTATACCTGTATGTTTTCCTCCAAAACTTTCATCATTATTATTTGATGTTATTTCACATTGATTTTCATCATGTATATCACTTTTAAATCGTTTTCCATTTGGTAAAAATGTTGATGATTCTAATGATGTATTAAATAAAGGACGAAATGCTGTTGCATATGGATAATGATGAAAAAGACTTGAAAATAGATTATGTTGATGTACTGTTGGTGGTATTGATGGTAAACGTATTTGATCCGATGATGTTTGATTATTAAGAAGTGTATTAACAGAAAAAGATGCATTAAAACCTGATACAGAATTTTTTTCTGGACTTATATTTGGTGATGATGATGATGATGTTGTTGTTGTTTGACGTATTGAACGAAATGCAGCAGCCATATCAATTGAATGCCATAGTGATGGATGATACATAATTATATTTAGTAGATAATTTAAAACTTAATCATTCAATATGAAAAATAAAAA